TAGGGAGTTTTTTCTCTTTCTTCCCCTAGTTCTTATCTTTCCAACATCTGAAATTCTTTTATTGCCCAAAACTGGACAGCCAAGGCTTTTATTGATTTTTATCTTTCAAATATCAAGGCAGTCACCAGAGTTTCTTTTTTTAAAGTATATCACCCTAACATTTTAATGAAAGAGAAAAAACTCCCTAGGTTATATTCTATTATAGTCATGACTCAGTCACTTTACATCTTTTGTCCCTTCCATGCCACTGATTTCCTCGAATGAGATGAGGCTGTGTGCCAGACCACCCCTGTGTATTGCGTAGAAGTCATTCTTATCTGTGTATTTCTGGTTCACTGCCTATCTTTTCTTATTAGCCGTCCAGCTAAAGTTTGCAAAACAGGAAGTGTTAGTATTTCTGGTATTTGATGACAATGAAAAGTTTGGTCTCATTTCATGGGGCAGCAGCGATATGGAGGGTGTCTAAGTTTGCCTTTGTGTTTCTTCTAGGCTCTGTTTTTGATTTTAGACAGATGAGCCAGTGTTAAGGTGCTACTTCAGAGAATATTTCGAGAAATCAGATAACACTGTGCCAAGGTATACTTTCTAGATGCTAAGCACCGATTGGCCCTCCAGAGAATAATAGCCTTTTGATACCTCACTCCTGATAAATCTCATCCATTAACCTCAGCTTCTCAGGAATCCTTGTAACACATATGCTAGAAGTAGCTATAGTGTATGGTATTCATTATATGTCCAATCCTATGGTTTGGCTCAAAGGTTGGCTAATTGTGGCTACAGTTCTCCGCTAGACTGCTAGCTCAGCACCTTAACACTCTAGAGTTTCTTGTCTTAAGGCAAAGGAAAATGTTCTTTCTGCTATTGCCAATTCAGCAGTTGGACATACTTAACCAACAAACAAAGCTGATACAGGGAGGTCTGTCAGTCGCCTCAAATGGCCACATACCTCAATGGCAAAAGGCTAGATAATCTGTGATTGGCAAATTAATTTGAGTTGAAACTAGTCTGTTTTGGCATTAAGAAAAGAAAATTGCCCGACACAAGGGAAGGAGCTATAAAAGAATGCCAATAAGTGCTTCAAGAGAGGATTTTCCGAGGGAAAATATGCCGTAGACATCCAGCCATTAAAAGAGTGGGAGTCTACAGGTTCATTAATAGTCTAACTGGTATATTTTGTATAGTCAGGTCTTCAACGTAAATAATTAAAGAAGCCAAAACAGGTAATGCATGGTTATACCGTTGGAGGGAAAGAAGCAAGGGACTGAAAATGCAAACTAATGGCCACTTTCAAGGTCGTTTCTATTTGGATGTTTGTTCAGACACTCTCCTCTTTTCTGGCCCCAGCTTCCTTCTGGTTCAGGCCAACTGTCAAGTGGAGGTGGTATAGTCCAAAGAACTGATAGCCTCTGGTGGATAATCTGACACTGATGACACTTTGGATTTTGCCAGTAGGCAGAACAAACGATCAATTCGCTGAATGAACAGCAAAGCAGTTCAGTTGTTTTGGCACCAGAGGCTGAAACTGAACCCCTTTTCAGGAAAAGCCGAGCATAGTGTAAATTTCTCTAGCAAGTCTCCAACTTCATTTGAACATGAGAAAGAGAAAGTAATGGGGATTTAGTGTGGTCTAAGGCTGTGAAGTAACTCTGAACCATGATGTTATGAACTCGTTCAGGTGTGGGGGGAGCAAATCTATTTTTAAAAACTCATCATGCACTAGAGTATGTCATGCACAGAAATCATGGCATATTACATTATAGGTTTTAAGTATTTGAATCACCTGTCTCCATTGGGTCTCAATCTTGGTTTGTGTTGTGATGTGATGAACAGGAAGGTGAACTTACTACCCCATGGTATCTTTGTTTTTGTTTTTTTAATCACAAGGGGTGCAGCTTTTGAAGTTGAGTTTTTAATGAAGATAGCGAAGACAATATTGAGAATTTGAAATGGCCAGTGTGTTTTACATTGCCAAAGTACTTACTGATGACTGGCCATTTTGCCACCCATCAGTTCAGAGAAAGCAGGAGAACATTTTTCATGGTGGTACACAGAATATTGAGCTTGAGAAAACCCTGAGAAAAATTAGAAATTTAGAAAGTAGATGGGAAGTAGGATATTTAGTCCTGAAAAAAATTGATGTCTAAATATGTGGTGTGAACTTAAGTGTCCTAAAACCTTGATTTTTTTTTTAAAACCACCTCTGGGTTTGCCTGAATTCCCTTTGGGGAGAGAATTGAAGGATGTGGCAGTGGAAAAGCCCCAGTAAGAAAATATATGCATTCTTACAAGATGGTTGGAGGAAGGCCATCCTGTGCCCCAAGCTATACATCCTAGCATTTATAAACTATTCGATCATGTGCCTCAGGTAGAGGAAAAAGTCAAGTGGTCTTTCAAAGACTGTGTTTTCCATGTCGGGGACAGGCTCAAAGCAACATTTAGCTGGAGGCAGTCGGCTTTTATGGAGAAGGCTGACCCATGGCATCTGCTCACAAAGGAGGGCAACGTCTACTGCCATTGCCTAAATGATAAGCTTTAGGTAGATTTTCTTGAATTTTGATAGCAAAATATTTTTTTAAATCTCTATTTTAGCCTCCCTAGAACGTACTTATTGAAATGTATGTATGAAAAAGAAAAACGTGAGGGTTTCTCAGATCAGAGCTCAGGGAGTTGTGTCAGTTTGCAGTGAAATTAATGTAATGGACCTGTGGCGACCATTCAGTTTTGCTCTGCCTCAATTTCAGTTGTGTGCTCCAAGGAGAGAAGTTCTTGGAACAGCAAGTGTTTAGCAACTTCACGTTACTCCACAAATGTTTGCTGGCTGCAGTCTCACTTCTAAACATCTGGATCTGGGCAAAGTTTTAAAGTGATGTAAGAAACAAAATTGTTTTTTTCCACTGTGCAGTCCGATTTTGCCGAATTTCCCAGGAAAGAAAGTATATGATGTACAGAGTTCACATTTCTTGGATGGGACCTATTAAGTCACCCTGCCTAATCCCACAGTCATAAATTCCTACCTCTCAGTTCCAACCAAAGGGTCTTCAGCCTTTGCGTGCACTCACTGCATGCCCAAAGTTTGGCCTTTTAAAAGGAGAAACAGCATATGATGGTTTTTAAAAAATGATCTTTGCCTCTCCTTCTCTCTCTTCTCCCCCCCCTTTTTTTCCTGTCATCCACAAATTCACATTTTTCTCCGTTTGCAAGTGTGCTGTTTTGAATGTGAACCTTGGGGAAAGGACAGCATCTCTCTGAGAATAGAGAATGGAAGATGCTTCTGAGTTGGTGGGCCAAACAGGGCTTTGTGCCACTGTAGAGGCCAAAGCCAGTAGTATTTGTTGAGAGTGTTGAGGGCTTTAGCATCTCAAGGCAGACATATGAAGTAGTCAGAGCTAAACATTATCGTCTACTCATCCAAACCTATTGAAAGTCAGCGGCAGCCTAGGATTTAGTGAGTGAAATGCCATCTGGCAAAATGGGGATGAGGGAGTGGCCTGAGATGGTTTTATCAGGGTGGGAATGTTCAGTCTCATTATCATATTGAGTGTACCTCAAAATACATGGTCCTTTCAAGAGTGCTCATTTTCCATTCTCCATTTCACTTCATCCTTTTTCCTCCCTCCTTTCTCTCTCATTGCCCTGCCTTTTAAGTACTCAGCTTTTCAATAAGTATTTACATTTTTATTATATATTTGGTCCTTTAGGACTATGTAATGATTAAGAATTAATTGCATTCTAGATTTAAAACAATGATGTTTAATATTTTGTTCTTTTAAACTGTCTTTTGAAGCTATGCTGCTAACCAGGTACAGGCCAGAAAGGAGTTGGACCTGACCAACAGCACCCTGGTCATGTCACCTAAGGGTGACATTGATGTCATCATGGTGACTCTTCTCTATTTTACCAAGGCCAGCCTCCTGCTCTTACCTCTGTTCATTCATTCCTGGCTCTGGGAAAAATATTACCCATTGGGTGAGCTGATGAGGCCAGGAAGGTAAGAAAAGCTGGGTTCCTGCCCATGGGCCACATATGAATTCTCTGTAATATGCTCATTTGTAGGGCCGGCTCCAACTGCAGTAGCCAAAGAAAACCTGACTCCACATTTCAGTTCCTAAGTGTTGGTAAAAGTTCAACTGAAGCTAATGTGTAGATACCGGCAGTAGCTAGGCAAATACAGAAACTAGCATCAACCAAAGCTAATATAGCCC